GACTGGTAATCATCAAATTAGTACAATTTTTTTACCACTGTACCAATCGGAAAATGGATACAGTTTTAATAAACATGAAACACTTGAACCATAATATATATTTAAATCTCTAGTTTTGTAATACCACTTTTGAAGTGTACATTTGCAAAAATACTATTTAGAGGTGTCCATTTGCAAAACTACCATTAATTATAGATTTTTAAAGCCTAAATCTTAAAATTATAAACCCTAAAAAATGTTTTTGACCCCTAAAACCCTTTAAATCCTCAAAACTAAACCCTAATACAACATAGTTAACACAAATATAAATGATATAATGAATTGTTTTTTTTAAGTAGCATTTTTGCAAAGATTTTGAAAATTTGGTATTTGTAAAATATAGCATTTGAAAAGTGGTATTTTTAAAAAATTCTCATAAAAAAAAATTCTCGTGGATTCCAATGAACATATTTTAAACCTAGACACCGAATATCAACTACAATTAGAGAGACATGAATGAATGAATCGACGACTACTATTAATTAATCTAATTTTCTGAATACATATACTATGTTGTAGTTGAGAATTGCGATGACTCAAGTCACCCCAATCAACAATGTGAACACACATCTCTTTATAGAAAATTTGAACACAATCTCAAGGCAAACCAAACATTCCTACAATATCCACCTAAATTTTATAAATCCAAATTAACAAACCCAGAGATATATATATAAAGGTATACGTGATTCCACACGTTAATGGACCAGGACCACACTTTTTGATTCTAAAACATCCAAGTTTCGAATTTATTATACACATTAACTAATTTAAATTTAATAAATTTTATCACGTACTTGGAAGATCGTGTAGACATTTGAATATGCCAAATGATCATATAATTAGGTGAAACAATTCAACATTATTACGAGGAAGAATAAAAATTGTCAAAGTGTTTTACAATTAAAATGAATAAAACCCATTAGTCTCCATTTCCAATAATCAAACCACCAAAACCGACACATAGAGGTTTTTATTAAATTAAATAAAGATTATTCAAAAATATTTACTTTCTCTCCAAACACTCAAGATTTTCCCAG